TGATGTCAGCCAATTGGCAGCTCATGCGTGACCACCTGCGCTTGCTCATCGCCCTTTGAGGAGGCCACGCTATTCGTGTGAGTCGGCAGGACTATGGGATATGAACGACGTCATTCCCTGTTGTGCACGTCCTGGAACACTAATGCTGTTAACAATGGCCTGGTGAGGGTGCGTTAGACGTGGCGCACAGATCTCAACGCCAACATGACCCCTGTGGGGCAGGACAGGAAGAGGAAGAGAGGAGGTAGAGGCTGGACATTAGTGCTCAGGAAAATTATTGAGTGAAATGGGTGGTTTTTCCACTCAGCGGACAGGAGTGGAGGAGCAGGAGCATCTGGTAGAGGAGGAGGAGGAGGAGACAGAGGGACCCAGACGCACACGTGGCAGTATGCTGTGAGATGGAGGCAGGGAAGTCCCTTGCATTCCTTAGGCACAAATGGCCCATAGCAAGCTCGGTTGCTTGCGTAGCGTGACAGCCGAAAAATAAACCATCAGACAGAGGGATGACTTTTGGCTGTCCACCTTTGTGGACCCTCGCTACCGTTCAAAATAATGGTGGCCTTTTTTCACACCTGCTGAGAAGGGAGGCCAAAATAACGTACCATAAAAACCACCTATGTAGTCAAGTTGGTCTCTGCCTTTGTGCGCCAACGTCCATCCTCAGACACTGTGGCCCTGTGCGCTCGCGTTCTCAGCTGCCATGGCAGCAGGGGAGGGGTGGGGTGGTAGGAGGCAGAGGCAGCTCCACCAGCAGCGGCTGCCTCAGTCTGCAGTCACAGATGATGAGTAGCTTTCTTCACCAGCGCAGTGAGGTAAACTACTAACCTCAGCCGCGCAGCGAGCAGCAGGCAGCAGCATCAGGTGGACCTGGAGCAGGACCTCAAACAACAGGCTTGGGCCTACTTGGGGACAGCAACGCCTGCCAAACCGAGGTAGACAATCCCCTTGACTACTGAGGGGCAACGAAAACTTGACCTTTGGCCCCAAACTAGCTGAATTTGCCCTTGAAAGGCTGTCATGCGCCCGGGGCCAGTAGCGTGGCAGTCGGAGCGCGTGTTTAGTGCAGGCAGGAGGTATACTGTAACTCCGCGGAGGTACACGACTGTCCACCCAAAAGTGTGTGGAGAGACTCACGTTTGTGTGAAAATGAATCAGGCGTGGGATTAGTCTGGATTTCAAACCACCAGTTCCTGACACAACCTGACTAAATCCGCCATGAATCATGCCTCAAAACATGTGCCACTTTCCAAGGTCTCCTCACACACTGATATGGTGTGTTTCCTTTTTTGTCATAGGGTGCTGGAGCAGATTTTACGGGCCTCCCATAGCTGGTGCCAGGCCCCTAATCTGCCATGGGCCCCTATACCGCATCCTCATGCTGCTGCCAGGTCCACAGTCTCTTATGCCATGTGCCACTTTCAGGTCTCCTCACACTGCTGGTGTGTTGAATTTTTGACATAGGGTGCTGGCAGATTACAGGGCCTCCCATAGCTGCTGCCAGGCCCCTAATCTGCATGGAGCCCCTATATACCGCCTCCTCATGCTCTGCTGCCCATTTCCCAGTATCTCATGGGTCCCTGTACGGCCTCCATTGCGCTGTCTCCATCGCCCCACAACTCTGCCATGTGCCACTTTCAGGTCCCTCCCACTGCTGGTGTGTCGTGCTATGCCATTTTGTGACATAGAGTCTCTGGCATGGGTACCTCCATAGCTGCTGCACGGCCCCTAATCTGCCATAGGCCCCTGCTATACCGCCTCCTCATGCTGCCACAGACGTCTGTCATGGGTCCCTGTACGTGCCTCCCATTGCTCAGGTCTCCTTCGCCACACTGACTGCTGGTGTGTTGGGTTGAATTTTTTGACATAGGGCTGCTGGCAGATTACGGGCCTCCTAATAGCTGCTGCCAGGCCCCTAATCTGCCATAGGCCCCTATATACCGCCTACCGCCAAGTCCAGAGTCTGGTCATGGTCCCTGTACCCCACTGCTCCTCAACTGCTTGCTGCCAGGTCCAGAAGTCTCGACACATGCTGTCCCTGTTTTGTCATAGGGAGCGGCCTCCCATTAGCTGCTAGCCAGTCCCATAAGTCTGCCCATGGCCCCGATCCTCCTCCTGCTGCCAAAGTCCCTGAGTCTGTCATGGGATCCCTGGCCTCCCACTTGCTGCTGTCTCCTCTGCATCCGCCACACTTTCCCATGTGCTCACATTCAGGTCTCCCTCCACACACTGCTGGTGTGTTCATGAATTTTTGACATAAGGGTGCTGGCAGATTACGGGCCTCCCATAGCTGCTTGCCGAGGCCCCTAATTCTGCCATAGTCCCCTATATACCCCGCCTCCTCATGCTGCTGCTTGCCAAGTCCAGAGTCTGTCATGGGTCCCTGTACGGCCTCCCATTGCTGCTGTCTCCATCGCCACACACTCTGCCATGTGCCACTTTCAGGTCTCCTCTTCACACTGCTGGTGTGTTTGTTAATTTTTTGACATAGGGTGCTGGCAGATTACGGGCCTCCCATAGCTGCTGCCAGGCCCCTAAATCTGCCATAAGGCCCCTATATACCGCCTTCCTCATGCTGCTGAGCCAAGGTTCCAGAGTCTGCATGGGTTCCCCCTGGGTCCCATGTACTGTCTCCATCGCATCTGCTGCCATGTGCCACTTTCAGGTCTCTCTCCACACTGCTGGTGTGCCATTTTTTTGTGCCACTTTCCTGATGAGCTGCTCCAGCCCCTCATCTGCCATACGGCCCCTATGTATGACCGCCTCCTCACTGCTGCCAAGTCTCAGAGTCTGTCATGGGTGCCATGTACGGCCTCCCATTGCTTGCTCGCCTTCGCCCACACTCTGCCCATGTGCCACTTTCAGGTCAGACTACACGGCTGCCTCCTGAAATTTTTTGCTGAGTTACTGCCCCCCTATATCTGCTGCCAGGGCCATTTATCTTAGCCATGGGCCCCCTATATACCGCCTCCTCATGCTGCTGCCAGGTCCAGAGTCTCTCATGGGGTCCCTGTACGGCCTCCCATTGCTGCTGTCGTCTCCATCGCCACACTCTGCCATGTGCCACTTTCAGGTCTCGCTCACACTGCTGGTGTGGTTCCATTTTTTGTCATAGGGTGCTGGCAGAATAACGGCCTCCCATAGCTGCTGCCAGGCCCTAATCTGCCATGGGCCCCTATACCGCCTCCTCATGCTGCTGCCAAGTCCAGAGTCTCTCATGGGTCCCTGTACGGCCTCCCATTGCTGCTGTCTCCATCGCCACACTCCTGCCATGTGCACTTTTCAGGTCTCCTCACACTGCTGGTGTGTTCCATTTTTTGTCATAGGTGCAGTGCAGATTTAATACGGGCCTCCCAGTAGCTGCTGCCAGGCCCGTAATCTCTGGTCATGGGCCCCCTGTTGTCGCTTGTTGGCATATTCCCCCCGCTCGTTACAGATGCTCCTTCCCTCCTGCTACTCCTCTTCACGGATTCCGTCAGCAGTCTTTCTTGGAATCCGTTTTCCAAGAGACAACATTTTGCGAGCACGCACCCGACGGTGCAGAAGCTGAACGTCCTCCTGTCCAAGTTGCTGCTGCCAGGCTCGTAATCTGTCATGCGCCCCTGTACCGCCTCCTCATGCTGCTGCCAGGTCCAGAGTGCGTCATGGGCCCCCGTACCGACTCCTCATGCTGCTGCCAGGCCCGTAATCTGTCATGGGCCCCTGGACCGCCTCCCCATGCTGCTGCCAGGTCCAGAAGTGTGTCATGGGTCCCTGCACGGCCTCCCATTGCTGCTGCCAGGCCCGTAATCTGCCATGGGACCCCCGTACCGACTCCTCATGCTGCTGCCAGGCCCGTAATCTGTCATGGGCCCCTGTACCGCCTCCTCATGCTGCTGCCAGGTCCAGAGTGTGTCATGGGTCCCTGTACGGCCTCCCATTGCTGCTGTCTCTATCGCCACACTCTGCCATGTGCCACTTTCAGGTCTCCTCACTCACACTGCTGGTGGTTTCCATTTTTGTCATAGGTGCTGTATGGCCTCCCATTGCTGCTGCCTCCACCGCCACACTGTGGCTCCACACACTCTGGTTTGGCCCCGTGACTGCCCAAATGAGTGAAGTGTGCGGTGATTCTAAGATCGACGGCACTCATCTGCATGTCATACTGACTGACAGTATTATGGTGGTGGTTTACTGATTTTTTTTTGTGTGTGAGCTCTAAAGGCATGGGGATTCTTGTGAAAATTGATGGCAAGATGAATTCAGCATAGTATTAAAAAATGCTGGGAAACAATTGGCCTTCTTCTGCACGAAAGCTGCGCATGGGATGCTCTTGGGCATGGGGAATCTTGTGAAAATTGATGGCAAGATGAATTCAGCATGGTATTAAAAAATGCTGGGAAACAATTGGCATTCTTCTGCACGAAAGCTGCGCATGGGATGCTCTTGGACCTTCCAGCATGACAGTGACCCTAAGCACAAGGCTTGACCATCCATTGGTTACAGAAAAAAAATGAAGGTTCTGGAGTGGCTATCAGTCTCCTGACAGAGCCACTCTAGGGAGATCTCAAATGTGCGGTTCATGAAAGACGACCAAAGACTTTGCATGACTGGGATGCATTTTGCCAAGATGGATGGGCAGCTATACCACTGAAGAATTCAGGGCCTCATAGATCACTATTACAAAAGACTGCACACTGTCATTGTTGCTAAAGGGGGCAATATGCAGTATTAAGAACTAAGGGGAATGCAGACTTTTGAACAGGGATCATTTCATTTGTTTACTTGTTGTCATGTTTTGTTTTATGATTGCACCATTCTGTTATGACCTAGAGTTGAATATGTATCCCATAATAAATAAAAGATGTGCTTTTTGCATGCTCCCTCGTGTTTTCTTTAAAAATGGTACATACTGTCTATTACCAATTATCCAAGGGTATGCAAACTTTTGAGCACAGCTTTAGTTATTTTGACACAAATGTGCCAAAATAATTTCTTACCTAAACTATCTTTCTTTGTTACAGAATGGAGGGACGCCATTACTGTATGCTGTAAGAGGAAATCATGTGAAATGTGTGGAGGTGTTGCTAGGTAATATTTAAAACCTTTTCCCTGGCTGAAATCTTCTGTCAGTAATTTTATATTGGTCTAGTTTGTTTTGGGGGATGGAGGGGTCCATTTGCAGGAATACATGAAAGCATTCTTTTCTACATCGTGACATTTCTGTTTCATGTTTCAGAAACAAATATAGAGGAAATCAACAAAGCACATTGTGACACTGTAATGCATTAAGCTAAGCTGTTACCAACAGGGACGGGGTTATAAATAAACAACATGTGATCCTTTTATAAAATCCGTCAACACTGAACTGTGTTTTAATATGAGTGTATTTGTACATTTGTACCCTTTTTTTTTTTTTTTTTTTTTTTTTTTTTTTTTTAACATGCATATTTTATACCTACAGAGAGAGGAGCTGACTTAACTATGGAGGCAGATTCTGGATATACCCCAATGGATCTTGCTGTGGCATTGGGTCATAAAAAAGGTATATTAAATATCATTTCACTGAAAACATAATTTTCTGTATTCATGAATACAAACCGGCAACATTTGTCTATATAAAGTTAACATGCTGGTCATACTGGGTAATATGCGGTGTCCATCCGCTATCATTAACTGTGAATAATGACCCTAGAATTATCATTGTCACTTCAGAGTACAGTATGTGGCAATCTCTTACAGGTGTATCGCAATCAACATTTTCATACGTAGGCAGGCCTGACACATGTTAACCTTCCTATGTGGGGTGGGTGGCGGTCTTGATACTTTTTTACAAGGCGGGTTTAAATGTTTCGATGTAACTTTATTATCACATAGGGAATCAAATATTTTAATATGACAAACTCTATTAGACCCCTGATGTCTCTCACCTGGTTTCCACTAAAGCTAACAGAACACAGATAATAGGTGGGGTTTGTTTGTTGGGTGGGGGCGGGCAAGCTGGGGAATCGGAGGTCTGTGGAAGCAGCCAGGAGTGTGTGCAAAACAGCCCTGCTACTGCAGGTGTATGACATGTGTTGCTGTCAATGAAAGTGTAAACACCTTTCAACTCCGGTTTCAGGGGTGTAGACATATATATTAATAATATAAATCAGAAGATGCAGCGCTAAAAAAGAGATACTATAAATAAATAAATGTAAAATAAGCAGTTCATGTGATGATATCCAAGTGACTTCAAGTGCTCTCATCTATTCATATCCTCCTGGTGATAAGGTGCTGTGCGATATAGTGCAGAAGAAATGCACACTCACCAGAACGCACAGTTTAATGAGCGTTTGTAAATATATAATTTCCCCTGAGGTCATCAGCTGGTCAAGGTAGGGTCTGGAATCCAATAGCCTCCCTCCAGTGCTCCTGGATGTTATTGCTAGGACATCAGGGTGATCCCTCGGATGGTGGCCTGTGGACTGCTCCTTAATGGTTGTAAACGCTCCTTCCCCAGCAGTGAGATGATTGGCTGTGAATTGATACTCCCCAGGGGAGTCTCTGATCCCTCTTATCTCCTCCGCAACTCAGCAAACAGCCGGAACCGAAACTCCACTGAAACTCCACTAGTGCTGCATCTTCTGATTTATATTGTTTTATAAGTTTTCATGGTTACCTGGTGCACAGCTGCTACATTGCACTTGTAGGTGCGCTCGTATACATTTTCTTTACTATTTGAATATATATTAATAAGACAAACTGCTTGCAGACTTTCAACAAACTTTAAGCTGTGCTGAACCTAACTCAAGCCTGCTAGCAGCTTGTTTAAAGTGACAGCCAGCACTCATATTAAAGCAGAACTATAAGCAAAAGTAAGTGTGTGTGTGTTATAACCATTGTCAGGTTTTATTTTTGCTGCCATCTGTGTCCCATTGGGGAGATTTACATTCACTTCCTGTCAGCTAAAACAAGTGAAGTGAAAGGAAATCCCTACAAATTAAAGGAATCCCTGGGGAACCCAGGTCACCAGAACTAAAGTCCCTATTAATAGATTTCCCCTCTATTACTTTTCTAGGGACAACTCAAAATTTTGGGATTTTCTTTTATTTGCACTTTCAATGATAACAGCACAGACTGCAATGCAAAACTAGTAGGTGTTCTAATCCCTTTCCACGCTGTCCAAAAAAGCTGCCTTTAGTTACACATTAAAATCTGTTTTAAAACCTCATACTGGTGCTGAATGATGCTTTAACCCTTTCCCTGCCAGAGCTGTTTCTGCATTTTTAATTTTTTTTCCGGAAACCTGTTAAAATGCACATTTTAGAACGGAAAATTACTTAAAATCCCCAAAACATTTTATATCTTTACTAAAAGCAGAGACCTTGTTAAATCAAATGTTGAAAGTTAATTTTTTTTGTAATGTCGCACAATATTTGCACAACTGTTTTTCAAACCCATATTTTTAGTAAACAAAATATACTAAACTTAATTTTACTGAACACAAAGACAACATACTAATCATTTTTTCTTTGGTATTTACCCCAAGCAACCTAATATTTCTACGCTAAAGTTCTAAAGTGTGGCACACTCGCTGATTTTAGCTTATGGATCAGCAGGGGGATTTTGTACGTTTCCCAGGTGTTCACCAGTGCGGGTGTCAAATCATTTCAGGACCTCAAAGGGGAATATGACCTCCCCAAAATGCTTTGCGTGCCCAGTTCGATGACTCTGTTTTACAATCCAACTCTAATTGTCTTTTGGATGTGATTTTGGGCATGGAATCCAAGAATCTTGCGTCTACATTCTATAATGCTCTACTCTTACCTTCTGCATCATTATTGGCATACCGTCGTAAAACCCGCTGGGAGGTGGATGTGGGGGAGCTGGATGATGAAATGTGGGAGGAGGTGGTGTTCTCGACTGAGATGGTTTCCCCAAGGTTGTCGAACCGTCTCACTCAGCTATATATTATACACACAGGTGAAACTCAAAAAATTAGAATATTGTGCAATAGTTCATTTATTTCAGTAATGCAACTTAAAAGGTGAAACTAATATATGAGATAGACTCATTACATGCAAAGCAAGATAGTTCAAGCCGTGATTTGTCATAATTCTGATGATTATGGCTTACAGCTCATAAAAACCCCAAATCTACAATCTCAGAAAATTAGAATATTGTGAAAAGGTGCAATATTCTGGGCTCAAAGTGTCCCACTCTAATCAGCTAATTAAGCCATAACACCTGCAAAGGGTTGCTGAGCCTTTAAATGGTCTCTCAGTCTGGTTCAGTAGGAATCACAATCATGGGAAAGACTGCAGACCTGACAGTTGTGCAGAAAACCATCATTGACACCCTCCATAAGGAGGGAAAGCCTCAAAAGGTAATTGCAAAAGAAGTTTGATGTTCCCAAAGTGCTGTATCAAATAGAAAGTTATGCGGAAGGGAAAAGTGCACAAGCAGCAGGAATGACCGCAGCCTGGAGAGGATTGTCAGGAAAAGGCCATTCAAAAGTGTTGGGGACTTTCACAAGGAGTGGACTGAGGCTGGAGTCAGTGCATCAAGAGCCACCACACACAGACGGATCCTGGACATGGGCTTCAAATGTCGTATTCCTCTTGTCAAGCCGCTCCTGAACAACAAACAACGTCAGAAGCGTCTTACCTGGGCTAAAGAAAAACAGACCTGGTCTGTTGCTCAGTGGTCCAAAGTCCTCTTTTCTGATGAGAGCAACTTTTGCATCTCATTTGGAAACCAAGGACCCAGAGTATGGAGGAAGAATGGAGAGGCACACACTGCAAGATGCTTGAAGTCCAGTGTGAAGTTTCCACAGTCTGTTTTGATTTGGGGAGCCATGTCATCTGCTGGTGTTGGTCCACTGTGCTTCATTAGGTCCCAGGGTCAACGCAGCCGTCTACCAGGAGATTTTGGAGCACTTCATGCTTCCTTCTGCAGACAAGCTTTATGGGGATGCTGACTTCATTTTCCAGCAGGACTTGGCACCTGCCCACACTGCCAAAAGCACCAAAACCTGGTTCAATGACCGTGGGATTACTGTGCTTGATTGGCCAGCAAACTTGCCTGACCTGAACCCCATAGAGAATCTATGGGGCATTGCCAAGAGAAAGATGAGAGACATGAGACCGGACAATGCAGAAGAGCTGAAGGCCACTATTGAAGCATCCTGGTTTTCCATAACACCTCAGCAATGCCACAGGCTGATAGCTTCCATGCCACGCCGCATTGAGGCAGTAATTGCTGCAAAAGGGGCCCAAACCAAGTACTGAGTACATATGCATGCTTATACTTTTCAGAGGTCCGATATTGTTCTATGTACAATCCTTGTTTTATTGATTGCATGTAATATTCTAATTTTCTGAGATTGTGGATTTGGGGTTTTCATGAGCTGTAAGCCATAATCATCACAATTATGACAAATCACGGCTTGAACTATCTTGCTTTGCATGTAATGAGTCTATCTCATATATTAGTTTCACCTTTTAAGTTGCATGACTGAAATAAATGAACTTTTGCACAAGTTTTTTTTTTTCGGGTTTCGCCTGTAGAACCTACTTGACACCAATTCAATTGTCTAAATACAGGCCACAACATAGCCCACTGTGCCGTAAATGTGGGGACCCTGACAGTATTTTCATTTAATATGGTCCTGTCCCCTCATTCGGGGTTACTGGTCTCAGGTGGTCTGGTGTCTTCATGACAAAATGGGCTCTCCCCTTAACCTCTGCCCTAAGCAGTGCCTGCTCGGTTTTCTTCCTAGTTCAGAAACCGACAAATTTTAGCCTTTTTTTGCAAGAGACGCTATTTGTGGCTAGATTATTGCTTGCTCATATGTGGTTGCAGGCGTTGTCGCCTACGTTTTCACAGTGGGTAGCTGCAGTAAATAGTACTTTACCATATAAGAAGGTCATTTATATACATAGAGGATGCCCTGCTAAATATCACAAAGTTTGGGATAAATGGCTCGACTCTACATTTACTTGTGACGAGGAGGAGGAGGAGGAATGATTACTCTCTGTCAATCTATTATGTTGGTTGTTATTATGCTGGTCCTCCTTTCCTTGCCTGCGGCAAAGGCTCTACAGTCTGTATAATGCATTACTCGCTTGTCTAATCGACCTGTTTGTTTTCATTGAATATGTAATGCAACCGCATGTCTGTTCCCCTCAATAAAAAGTTTACTTGATTTAAAAGTTCACAAATGTGTCAAGGCTCAAAGCACAACAAAAGGCAATTTTTTTTTTTTTTCATTTTGAATAGAGTGGAGATGGATTAGAACCCCTGTCAGTTGTTAATGCTGTCTGTGCCCCCTGTGAGGGAGATTCACCTCCTCTTTTTGTCCTGTTTACCGTTATCATTGAAAGTTTAAAGAAAATCCCACATTTTGGGTTGTCCCAAGAAGAGCAATAGAGGGGAAATCCTCCCATGTTGACATTAGTTCTGGTGACCTGGGGGGCTGTAGGGATTCCCTTAATTTGCAGGGATTTCCTCTCACTTCCTGTTTTGGCTATGGGACAGGAAGTGATGGGCATTCTCCCCAATGGGATGCAGATGGCAAAAAATAAACTTACAGGGGCTATAACCCTCCTCTACTGCTATACAAAATGAAAAAAAAAAGATTTGCCTATAGTTCTACTTCAAATATATTGCTGTTTAAATGCAAACTTAAATTCAAGTAACTGAATTTGACTTGATATTGGCCCCATACAATCCTTGTACAACATCTCAGACTAGGAGAGGGAGGGGCTGTGTAAGAAGCCAAAAACATGTGTTGCAGTGCTCATTTGGCAACAAGGAGCATGCTAAAAAAAAAACCCAAAAAACAAAATAGCAAAGTGACAGAGAGATTGAGCTCCGTGTGTTGCTTCCTCTTCACTTTCCAGTCACAAGCTGCAGTAGGAACAAGGTCCTAGCTGTATTATTAATTGCAATAGAGAAAAATCAGGCCTCTTGTCCTGCCAGAGCAGTGTAAATCTATGAACTGGATGGACATAGACGGTTCTACATTTTCGTAGATGAAACAGCTCCCATATTTGTATTTCACCTGTGTTTAGCTGATGGGCTGGATTTTAGTTTTAAATTGATGATATTAAAGGCTCAGATAAAAAAAAAAAAAACACACAAACATGTCATACCTACCAGCTCTGTGCAATGGTTTTGCACACAGCAGCCCCGATCCCCTGCCGGTGCTCTTTTCCCCTTCCCCTGCTGAGTGCCTCCAGAGCAGGCACACCAGCTATGGTGAAACAAAATTCATCATGACTGTTTCTTGCAATGCTTCATGGGACTTGTAGTTCAACAACAGCTGGAGTGACAAAATTGCCTACTTGCTATGTTATATAGATCCTGGGCATGTTCTATTGTTGCCGCTTGCATGGAAGCCAAGGAACAGTTCTGTAGCTATAAGATTGTTTCTGCGTGGAAGGTATATTTAATACTGTTGACACAAAGAAGACAGACATAACCTTGGTAGCCTATATAGAGTTAGAAAACAGAGAAATTAATGGACTTGAGATTGTTTTTGTCAAGCTTATGGTGTTACAATTTTCTCTAGTCCAACAGGTCATTGAACATCACATCCTGAGATTGTTTCAGAGTCAAGTGTGACCCACAGTTGAGAGGAATAAGAAGAGCAAGATATATGAGCTCATCATCATCTGCTCAGACATCTGACAGAGGTCATGGACAAGATGCTACAGAACATGCTAAGCAAGCTGGCATTTCTTTTGTAGAGGAAAAGACTTTATTGAAGCACCTGACAGAAGAATGCACGTTCAGAATAGGAACATCTTTATCTAATCAACCTCGCTAACACAGTATATTGAAGGAAAAAATCCATGGCTTGTGTTGGGCAGCAGAAATGGTACTTAAATGTTTGCTGCTGCCCTTGGTAAAAGTGCCTTGCCCAGCTATAACGATAGAGGGCCTGTGTAGGTGGCATTTTAGCATATTTTCTTCTGTATCTCCAGCACCGCTCCGCAACTTTCAAACCATTATCGCGGTATATGGGTAAAAATGTCACTCTTCATTTAAGAAGAATTGCAGGGTATAAAGAGTTTTAGATGGGAGGTCTGTTATAGTTCCCTTTATCTAGAGATTTTTAAACCCTGGAGAGCATCCTTATATATCACTAGGTTAAAGCTGTATATGTATTTGGCACAACTTATGACGCGCATGCGACGGCTTTATTTACATAAATATTTATGCGTGTTTCAGTCGGGTATAATGTTGGCCATATGCATGCAGAAGTTTGGCAATGCAACAAAACAAAAATCCAGCATTTATCAACGTGCTTAACAAAGGATGAATGATTAGGGCTCCAGATTGATTCTGAATAATGATTTTATGGGGTCCCAGTCCACATAAACCATCCATTTGTTGGTTTTCACTGGGAAACTTTTTTTTTTTAACCCAAATGAATGGATTAATTGGCATTATTTACACAGTTAGGTCCATATATATTTGGACACAGGCACAATTTTCATACTTTTGGCTCTGTATGCAACCAGAATAAATTAAAATGAAACAATCCAAATGAATTTGAAGTGCAGACTTTTAACTTTAATTCAAGGGGTTGAACATCAATATCAAATACAAATTTTAGGAACTGCAACCATTTTTATATACAGTCCCTCCATTTTCAGAGGCTCAGATGTAATTGGTCAAATGAATAAAATGTTCATTTTTAATATTTTGTTGAGAATCGTTTACTGGCAATGACTGCCTGAAGTCTGGAACCCATGGACATTACCAAAGATTGGGTTTCCTACTCTCTGATGCTTTGCCAGGCTCTAACTGCAGCTGTATTCAGTTGTTCATTGTTTGTGTGTCTTTCTGCCTTTAGTTTTGCCTTCAGCAAGTGAAATGCATGCTCAATTGGGTTGAGGTCAGGTGATTGACTTGGCCATTGCAGAATATTACACTTCTTCTTCTCCTTCAAAAGCTCCTGGGTTGCTTTTGCAGTGTGTTTTGGATCATTGTCCATCTGTACTTTGAAGCGCCGTCCAATCAACTTTGCTGCATTTGGCTGAATCTCGGCTGACCGTATCTCTGTAAACACTGCAGTATTCATCCGGCTGCTTCTGTCTTATCATAAATAAACTCCAATGACCCAGTGCCACTGAAAGCCATGCATGCCCATGCCATCACACTGCCTCCACCATGTTTTACAGATGACGTTGTGTCCTTTGGATCATGAGCTGTTCCAAGCCTTCTCCACACTTATTTCTTCCCGTCATTCTGGTACAGATTAATCTTAGTTTCATCCATCCAAAGAATGCTTTTCCAGAACTGGTCTGGCTTTTTTTGGAAAAATGTAATCTGGCTTTTCTATTCTTCAGGCTTATGAATGGTTTGCACCTTGTGGTGAACCCTTTGTATTTGCTCTTATGAAGTCTTCTCTTGAATGTAGACTTTGACAATTATACGCCCACCTCCTGGAGAGTGTCCTTCACTTGTCTGGATGTTGTGAAGGGGTTTTTCTTTACTAGAGAGGATCCTGCAATCATCCACCACTGTTTGTCTTCCGTGGACGTCCATGCCTTTTTTATGTTGCTGAGCTCAACAGTGCGTTCTTCTTTCCTCAGAATGTACCAAACTGTTGATTTGGCCACTCCTAATGTTGCTGCTATCTCTCTGATGGATTTGTTTTTGTTTTTGAAGCCTTACAATGGCCTGTTTCACTTGCATGGAGCTGCTCCTTTGAACGCATGATGTAGGTTCCCAGCAATAGATTCCAAATGCAAATACCACACTTAAAATCAACTCCAGACCTCTTACCTGCTTAATCGATGAAGAATAAACAAAGGAGTAGCCCACACCTGGCCATGAAACAGCTTTTGATTCAATTGTCCAATTACTTTTTGTCCCTTGAAGGTGGGATGGCTACTCTTAAGAGCTGTAATTCCTAAACCCTTCCTCCAATTTGGACGTACAAATCCTCAAATTAAACCTGAGAGTGAGCACTGTCCGCCCATATCCATTATAGAACTATAGCTTGAATATGTTTTGTTAAATACCTGGAAAAAAAACTAAAATTCTGCCTGTGTCCAAATATATATGGACCTAATTGTGTTTCTTTGCTACACAGGGGAAGACTCTCACAACCTTTTACTTACTACCTACTCAGTTACCCTAAGGCATGTGTATACCAGAGCATACATATCAGTGGACAGAAATAATGGTTTTAACAGGGTCCTGTAAAGGAAAGCACAAGTGTCTGCTGTTTCAGTATTTATGGACACTTAAGCATATATGTATAATTTGATTTGGTTCAATAGATAATTTTTTATAAACTAGAAGATTTTAGCACTTGTTAATCTAAGGGTAGAGGAATAAAATGTAAAATTATTCCTGGCTCTTGTAAGCTTTGCTGTGTTCTCCTCCCCCCCCTGCATTGTACTTGATAATGTCAGGGCATGCAGCTACCAGCTGGAGCAAGGCAAGTATTACACATGATCATTGCACGGGTGAATTTTGTATAATTCCCGGAGTTGGGATTTAAAGGCAATCTCGATCCAGCGGTGTGCATGAGAGTTGAGGTTCTCTCAGCTCTCTCCTGCCTGATTGGCTCAGATATAGCAGTGAGAGCCAGTGGTTCCTGCTGCTGTCAGTCACAGCCAGTGAGTGTCCCTCACTTAACTCCATAAGACACAGAATGGGGCTTAACCCTGCCCCCTCCTCACTAGCTGTGATTGACAGCAACAGGAGCCAATGGCACAGAGCAGGGCTCGGGAGTGGGCACACACAAGTGCGCGCAAAACAAGCTGCTTGTTCTGGGGGTAGTCAGCAGGGGGAGGAGCCAGGAGCAATGGCAGGGGACCTAAGAAAAGGAGGACTGGGGCTGCTCTGTGCAAAACCATTGCACAGTGCAGGTAAGTATATAATGTTTCTTATTTATAAAAAATGTAATACTCTTTAAAGTAAATCTGTCATGAGAAATATACTGTATAGCTTGCCATTGTCAATCCCCTTCTGAAAGAGAGTTGCATGCCATGCTCATTTGCTTCAATATTAATACACTGACCTAGTGCAGTCATAGCTCCCAATATACATATGTGTGCCAGATCCGTGACTCACAAAGTACAGGGGTCAGAGACAGCTAGGTAATAGGCATTTTCTGAATGAGGGCAGCAAACATTCTTCTTCCAGGACAGGTTTCCTTCAAAGCAGCCCTAGTTTCAGATATACAGTATTTTTCCCCATGTTAAATACATACATAAAGTTTTTTTGTATTTACTGCCTCTCAAAGAGCTCACAGTACTTTCCCTTACAAGCTTTCATAGTCCGTACTCCCTAGAATGCAAGAAACATGTTTGTTTAGGCATCATCCAGGGGCAGCATTTGCTTCTGGGATTTAGGGCCAGTTCACACTACAAAAAAACAACTACAAAAGCATTTCAGATACATTTTTGCAGTTACGGTGCAGTTTTAATGCAGTTTGCTATGTTCTAGAACAGTTCTGTCCAGAAAAAATGCAGCATGTTCTACTTTTTTTTTCTGCACTGGAACTGACTGCACTGGTGTGAACTAGGGCCATTGGAATATATGGAAAACACTCACTGAACTGAATCTAGTGTGAACTAGCTCTAAGGCTAGGTTCACACTTCTGCAGGTGAAGAATGGCACACTTTACCACACTCACATCAAAAACGTGCTGCTATTAGCAGATGATTAATTCTTATTGCCACCCCAACGCACTGGGAAGTGCATAGCACTATGTGGTTTCCCTGCAGCTGCGATTTTGGAAAAGGCGCAGGGACCTTTGACCTGCATTGTCCATAGATACAGCAGCCCATTCAAATGAATGAGACCCTGTGCAAACATGGCAGCAGGGAAACTGCAGTAGTGTGAACCTAGCCTAAGATGGCACAGCAGAGATAATAGAATCCTATAAATTCTCTAGTCTGCACACTATTTTATGGGATGAGTCTGGGAGAGGGAAGACTGAGAATTGCTTTCTTCTTGCGGAGAACACACTGGTGCCATGACTCTTCCAGACTTTCAGGTGTAGACACAGTTACATGTCCTCAATAATTGTTGCTTTCATAGTAAAAGTGACAGTGTTTGTTCAACAAATTATACAGTTTATTCATGCAGCATTGTACAATTTCTAGTAGGTTACATTAGCACTGTACAATCATTCTTGTTTTGTCTGTACAAATCCTTTGCTGATTCACACATATATGTGTGTGGATTAAAGCTCAGGTTTCACAGCTAATTGATACAGTAGTTGTTTACAGGTTCAGGTCAGGTATACATTGGCACAGGATTCGGTCCAGATTTTAGCCTGTTCACACATACGCAGTTTAGAAAAAGGTTCCCATAGAAGGCAATAGCCTGTATTCCGCACCTGAACCCACTGCTCAGAAATCATACATGACTCTTTGTACAACTACACTGAATCCACACTGGACATATGTGAACAGACACCATAGGAAGCAATGGTATTTCACATGTCATGGGGATTGGATGCAGTTCAAACCGCATCCAATCCACATATATATGTGAACTGGCACTTAAAGCAATCTTTAAATGCAAGTAAAAACAGAAAAATATTCCTCCTAAATTTGCTTAATTTGCTAAAAAAACCCAAACATTTTTGGGAT